CAGGAGCAGCAGGGCGAGCGCCCACGTTTCCAGCGGCCAGCCGAGGACCGGGTCTCCCATGGCGAGCGCTTCTGCAGAGCGTGGCAACTTCTGAGCCGCGGCTGGAAGTTCCCGGGGTTTTGTAGCCGCCCTCGGAGAGGAGCCAAGCCCGGGACTCCTCCTCGGGACGGCCTCCTGGGGCCACTCCCCGATAGGACTATAACCCCTGGAATGGCCGGCCAGCCCAGGACTAGGCAGTCCTAACAGCTGGAGAGGATCGCTCCTCCTCCTCCTCCTCCTCCTTTCTCTTTCTCCTTCTCTCCTCTCTTCCTTTCCTGTCTCCTTCTCCTCCACCATCATTCCTTCTCTTTCTCCTCCTCCTCTTTCCTTTTCTCTCCTCCTCCTCCTCCTCCTCCTCCTACATTTCTTTTCTCTCTCCTGCTCTTTTTTCTGGAGATTTGCACTGAGCAGAAAGAGCTCTTTCCCCCTTTCTGGGACCCCTCTGCACCCTGGAGTAAGCAAGGAAGCTCTTGCTGCTGGTGCATCTCTTTTCATCTGTCCCTGATGTTTCTCTTGGACCGGTTTCGCGCTCCAAACTCAGTTGCTGATCCTGGGGTGCCTCTGCTCTTTTGATGCTTGGTGCATCTGCTCTGGCATCTACAGGAGAGCCACTTCTTCTGGGTGGGAGGTAGATTCTGGTTGTGTGAGCTTGGAGCAGCGATGTAACTTTGAATGGTCACTAAAAGGAACTACCAGGATTACCTGCCTTTGCCCCTGTGGAAGGGGAATTGGATATGGAGCCAAGGTTGAACTCTTCCACCAAACATAGACCAATACTCGAATACAAGACCAATACTCGAATACAGTTCATCAGTCTGGAACCCACATTACGTATCTGATATTAGCACAATTGAGAAAGTCCAGAAATATTTCACAAGAAGAGTTCTCCACTCCTCTACTCGTTGTAGAATACCTTATGCCACCAGACTTGAAATTCTAGAACTAGAAAACCTTGAATTACGCCGTCTTCGGTCTGATTTAAGCATGGTATATAAAATCATACATTGCAATGTCCTACCTGTCAATGAATACTTCAGCTTCAACCATAACAACACAAGAGCACACAATAGATACAAACTCAAAGTTAACCGCACCAAACTTGATTGCAGGAAATACGACTTCAGCAATAGAGTGGTCAATGCCTGGAATACTCTACCTGACTCTGTAGTTTCTTCCCCAAACCCCAAAAACTTTAACCTTAGACTGTCTACTATTGACCTCACCCCTTTCCTAAGAGGTCTGTAGGGGGCGTGCATAAGCGCACCAACGTGCCTACCGTCCCTGTCCTATTGTTTCTCTTATTCTTCTTTTATTTTTCTTATATGTACCCATTTCATGTATTCACAACTATGTATACACTTATACTTATTATCTTGTAAACAATTGGCAAATCAAATAAATAAATAAAATAAAATAAAATAAATAAATTCCAATTTCACAGAAGCCCACAAGATGGTAATACTGTACGCAGAATTTTGAAGGCGTCTTCCTGTGGTCTTGTTTATGTTTATCATTTCTTTCAACCCTTTAATGGTGTTTGATGGTTCTAATTGTTTTTGTTTTTTTAAAAAAAATTGTGTACACCCTGCATCCCATACAGATGACGGGTGGCGGCATCAATTCGCTAACTCAATGAAATAAATAAATTTGATGCCACCGACTTGGAGGAGTTTAATGCTCCTTTCAAACCTGAGGGAGATTTTTTTGATAATGGGAGGTACCTGAGGCCAGAAAAAAAAACCAGGAGTGGACAGTGGTCAGTGCTTAAATAAAGCCAACTATTAAACAAACAGGCAGTTTGCTGCAATTTGGCATGTGCTTAAAAGTAAATCGAAGCTGCAGGAAAAACTCAGGGGTTTCCCCCAATACTTTGTAATGACCGTCTTATTCAAAAGTTGTGTTTAGACAGGATGCTAGTATGGTTTTATTGTGAAATCTTTTCATGACCAACAGGTGTTTTTCCTCTCTCCAGGTACAGCAGCTCTCCACAAAACCTATTTTATTTATTTCATCACCTTTTTACCCTACCAGCCAAGGAACCCTCAAGGCAATCCACAGGGAGATGGTGTAGGAACTTTCTTTGGCAGAAGAAGAGTGAAACCTAGAGAGGACTTGGAAACTTGCGCTGGTACGCAACGCGGGCCCTTGAATGCTTGTGGCATGAGTCACTCAAAGTCAAGTGATGTGTGTATGAAATAAGCAGGTTTATTATTATTATTTTAAAAGTGAAGACAGGAGAGATCCCAAGATTAACTGGAGCACCCAACTGTCCTTGAAAACAGGATGAGAAAATGTCTAAATGGGCATTCAATTTTATAGATTCAGATGGCTGCTGTTAGGTGACATGAAAGCACAACAGGAAGGAAGGAAGGTGAGAAGAGAAGAGAAGGGAAAGGAGGAAGGAAGAAAGGAGAGAAGGGAAGGGAAAGGAAGCAAGCAAGCAAGCAAGGAAGACACCATTGCTTCTTTAGAGCCTCCAGAATGTCTACTCCCCATGTTTCACAATGACTCTGGGCACCACCTTCAACATGATGGGCTTCTTCATCACGACGAATCCTCTGTCATCCATCTCCAAGGGGATCTTCCCCATTGACCAAAAGAAAGGGAGATAGAAAACATCACAAGGATGGAATTAAAACAGAGGTGATTCCACTTAAAAGGAATCACAGTTGACTACCAAGAACCATGATTTACATACATGCCTTTTCCTACGCCTACGCAATGCTTCAATTGTATTTTGTTCAACTTGAATCCATTTTTCCCCACTGTCTGTGTTGCAATTGACAAAGGCATTTCACTAAGGACTTTTTGCTGTGAGTACCAAATAAGACTCTATTCTCAGTAAGACGTGGAAGCAAAACCTAGGCATTGGAGAATCACACACACACACACACGCACACACACACACACACACACACACACACACACACAGGGGATGGACCTGATAGGATGACCCTGTCTTTCCAAAGAGATCTTGTTTTCATGTTCATCACCTCCTTGTGTCTTTGAACAAGACATATATGTGAAATGGGAAATCAGTTGAGTAAACTCTTTAGCGGACAAGCAGGAACCAGCTTCCAACCCAAGTTGTAAACACTCACCGGTGTTTCTTTGCAGGTTTCAAAGTGAAATCTTTGCAGTGTGACTACCAGACCCATTTTCACCACCAGGAGGGCGAAACGTGTAGCGATGCAGTTCCTGGGACCCACTCCGAAAGGAAGAAATGCATACAGGTCCAGGTTTTTTTTGTTCTCTTTACTAAACCTATTTGTGCAAATGAGAAAAGAATCATGGCTGAGTAAAGATACTATTCCCAAGAGTCTGTACCTCAGTTCTGTAACTAAGACACCCCTTTGCTCCTTCAACACTGGATAAACTGGACTGAGACCAATGAAGAAAGATAAACTTTTGTGGAGAGAGATTGTTGTGGTTAAATGGCTGATCTGATGTGGTGGAATGTAGTCTGGATTCCCAGGAGGGAGGGGCTGCATTTCAGAGGACCAAGAGACTGAACTTTATGTGGTTTGGTTGGCAGGAAGAGAATTAAGGCGGCCCTTCTGTACCAATTCTCAAAGTGGGCATAGCTGGGGAGGTGGTCATTAGCCTGGGGTCATTATATTCCCATGGTCTAAGTTCAACCCCTCAACCTCTGTTCACCCTTATCTGGTGCCAATTTAGTGTTGAACTTTAGTTGATTAGATTTTTGGCTTGAGCAACAAATTTTCTGAACTGCAACTTAACATATGTTCTGATTCTCTGGCTTGACAAGTATATTTTTAATGATACAAGTAGTTGCTTTAGTTTGGCAAGATTCTGTCTACAGGTGAGGAACCATAAAGAGAAGTATTTAGAAGTAGTTTCTGCTTAATTAATTTGGACTTCTCGAGTTTTTATGCCCAAGAATCTTTGAGTCTACTACGGCATACAGTTAGTGACAGCTATAATGTAGGTGAACGAGGCCTATTTCTCATATTTTGACCTACCTGTCATGGTTCAAGGAGGGAATCTTTTCTAAATATAATTTCTTGCATGTACTCTTTACTCTTCAACACCTATCAGCGTGGCTTACAGCTGCCCTACAGCTTTTCGTTCAGTTGTTGGAACATTAAACCAAGTCATTGTCTTAGCTGCTACAGTCAGTTTAGGCATCATTTTCTCCCATGGAGTTAATTAAGTTCCATGCACAATTTATGGATGTGGATCGTAAAAAAAGCCCTGTGTGACTTTGTAGATGTCAAAGAATGATCCGCCTCTCATTTGAGAAGTTACAACCGAAGTTACAACTTTGCTCCCCGATGTCCTCACGGCGCTGCGTTTCTTATTAATTTGGTTTCAGAAGGATGGTGTTCCTCACAACATACCTTTCAGGTCTGTACTCTTCGGGCTCAGGCCAATATTCAGGCATCCGATGTAAGACATAAGCTGGAATCATAACCACGGTCCCTTTTGGGATGGTGATTCCATGGATTTCTACTGTCTTTTTGCAAATCCTCTCAAGTCGTGTCCCAGGAGGATAAAGACGAAAAGTTTCATTCACCACCATATCTAGATATTCCATTTGATGGAGCGCGTCATAGGTGGGAGGGGTCTGCACAAAATGCCAAAACAAGACAAAATAAAGTAATATGGCATTCTAAGAAGTGTTCTCTCCTTCCCTTCCTCCCTCCCCCTCCCTCCCTCTCCCTCCCTCCCTCCTTCCCTCCCTCTCTCTCTCTTTCTGTATAACGTTCTTGTGGGACAGGAATCCTGGAAAGCTGGCCACCTCCCATCTAATTAAGATTCACATTTCAGTTATGTAAACATTGTGAAAAGGAAAAGAAATCCTGTCCTGTCAGAAGAAGACTCTGGTTTTGCTCTTCTGGATGCACACATCTTCTATACTTGGGAAGCAGTCAATCTGGCAGGGAGGAGGGATCAAATGAGGAACTAGCCTGGAATCACTGCGCAACCACAAAAGAGCTAGGGCTGATCCCACTTTAGTTCCTTGGGGCTTTATCTAATTATTCCCAGGAGCTGGCTGCTAGACTGGGGAGATTCCTGTACTATAGGCAGAACATAATAAAGTAGTTAGCTTGAACTCTGTGTGTGTAGGCCTGGTTGTTTTGTGCCTGGCAGCTCCTAAAACAACCAGAAGAGTCACAGAGGCCCCCCAAAAAGAGTCTTACCTTATTGGGAAAAGTGTCATTAATCTCTTGGTACAATTTCTCTTGAGCATCAGGGTGCATGGCCAGACAATAAGACATGAAGCTGAGGGAGGTACCAATGGTCTCATAGCCACCAAAAATAAAAAAAATGGATTGGGCCAAAATCTCTTTGTCTGTTAAACCTGTTGGACGAGAAAGGAAAGCACAGAAGAAGCTTGTTGGTACCTTTTATCACATGTGGTGGTTATGCCCCAAGACCAGGAAATTTAGTAAACACCAAATTGAACTCAAACTGGAATTCTTTTTATTAGGAACAATTACAGGCCAATACAGTTAAAAAGATTAAGAATATCATATTGCATATTTTGACAGCAGCCAGAATAGCTTTTTGCACAATTATGGGAAGGAGCTAATATCCCCTCAGAAGATTTAGTCGTACAAAAAGTACTGGAATGCGCTGAAATGGATAAGCTCACTTTGGAAATGAAAGAAAAGGAGGATTCCAAATATTATGCAATATGGGATAAATGGTATGAGTGGTTAAAAAACAGATATAAAGATTAGGAAAAAGGATTATGGTAAATATAGAAAGAGACCTTAATAAAGTATCAACATATGTATGTATATAATAATGTATAAAGGATATATGTATTTGTCAATGCCAAAACATTGTTACAAATATGAGTGAGATTTGTATTTTTGAAAACTGTAATAAAAAAATTATAAGAAAAAGAAGTTTGTGGTCATCCACACAGCATTCACTCTCACACCACACATATACAAGAGCAAATACAATATTTCAAATTGACTTGTGGCTTTCAGGGTAACCCAATTATCCAGGGGATCTGATTTGATCAACAACTATAAACATCTCTCTCTCTCTCTCTCTCTCTCTCTCTCTCTCTCCCTCTCCCTCTCCCTCTCTCCCTCTCTCCCTCTCTCCCTCTCTCCCTCTCTCTCTGTCTCTCTGTCTCTCTGTCTCATCACATAAAGAATGCCAGCAGCTGTATTTGCAGCTGCAGGCTGGGAAAACTAAAATACCAAATGTTAGTTTGATCAAATGAACACATTCTGGATTGGGGTGTTTTTTTCCTGTTGACTAAGCCTTCAGTCCTTCTGAGATCAATAAAATGAGGATCCAGATTGTTGGGGGCAATATGCTCATAATTTTTCTACATTGTAGACTACCCACAGTGCTACTACACAACTCCTACCCACTATGGGATAGTAGATAAGCCGAAATGCTATTTCTATTAAATATTGGCACAGTAAAGGAAAAATAGAGATAGATCTAAAATTAATCAACCTTAAACTTCCAGAGTCTTTAGAATCTTCTCTTTTTCCCTTTGCTTTCTCCTTTCACACTCACTTCAACTAATGTTAACTGTATTTTGCAGAAAACAGGTGAATTTTGAAGCTGTCAATATGCCATAGACAAGCATAATTATAGGTGATATTTGAATGGTGACTAATTTAAAATAGGAACATTTGATCTCCTTCTTGCAACTCTGTTTTAAGAGGCAGGCATGGAGAGCGAGAAAAGTTAAAGGAAGAGGTCTGAAGTTAAAGTCACACCCTCTCTGGATCACGATGACCTAAAGTAGACAGGTAAAGTGATAATCACTTAAGTTAAAGGAGTGTAGTGTATGTGTTATCATCCATCGATTTTATTTGAGGGGCTGCCACAAAGAAGAAGGGGTCAAATTATTCTCCAAAGAACCAGAAGGCAGGACAAGAAACAAAGGATGGAAACAAATCAAGGAGAGAAGCAATCCAGAATTGAGAAAAAACTTCCTAACAGTGAGGACAATGAACCAGTGGAACAGAAGTTGCCTCCAGAAATTGTGGGCGCTCCATCACTGAAGATTTTTAAGAAGAGCTTGGACAGCTACTTGTCTGAGGAGTGCTGCCAATGGTTGTAAGTGTGAGAAACAGTTAAAAGTAACTTTTTTCAGTGATGCTGTAACTTTGAGCAGTCACTAGGTGAACTGTTGTAAGTCAAGGATTACCTGTATATTTCATTCATCCTCTCTTCCAGCGCCCCATCGTCTTAGCATCATTTGCTAATGTTTATCTTGAGTTCATCCACGTGCATCAATATGCCCCAAGGAACCTTATGTATATATTTTCAAAAGCAACACCTGTAACTTTACCTTTCTCTGAATTTGGGTCCCCAGAGTTGTTGGCTGCAGCTTGTGCGTCCATCATGAGCTGAAGAAAATCAACTCGGTTCTGGAAGGGTAGAGAGACCGGAAAACTGTCATTAAGAAGAAGGGAGAAGGAGCTGTCATTGAAGGGAGATGGAACTGTCATTGATGGGTCCAATTGCCCACTGCAGACTTAGAAGGGGTGTGAGGGGTCCTTGGTGCTCTCTGAGCTGGCTTGTTTCCTTGCAGATGTTTCATTACCCAACTAGGGAACATCAGTGCTAGAAGGGAGGGGGTTTCACTATCATCACAGCACTGATGATGTTATGAAACAACTGGAAGAAAACAAGCAAGCTCAGACAGCACCAAGGACCCCACA